CCATTGGGGTTTGGTTCCAGGATCACTCACTCACTCTCATACACACACCCATACATAACAAAATCTGTAGATGCTCAAGTCCCATTAAATACAGTGGTGTAGTGAAATGATGTCCCTTATATAAAAAAATAAAATCAAGGTATGCTTTTTGGAATTTATATCTTCTTAAAGTATTTTCAAGCTGTGGATGGTTGAATCCATGTATAAAGAATCCATTGATACGAAGGGCCAACTTTAGATAGATAGATAGATAGATAGATAGAGTATAGGAGCCAGTGTGGTGCAGGGGTTTGAGTGCTGGATGACAACTGTGGAGATCAGGGTTCAAATCCCTGCTCAGCCATAGAAACCCACTGGATGACTTTGGACAAGTCACACTCTCTCTGTCTTAGAAGAAGACAAAGGCAAACCCCCTCTGAATAAATTTTGCAAAGAAATCCCCATGATAGGGTTGCTACAAGTTGAAAGCAACTTGAAAGCACACAACAATACCATAATAAGTCATATCACTGGTTTGATGAAATCAGTAGGACCTAGGTCCGTTTTGGTGAATCTATGGCACATGTGCCAGAGATGGCATGTGACGCCATTTGGCCTGGCACCTGGTGGAGAGAAGGTGGAACAGGCATGTGAGCCTGTTCCTTTTCCTCCTAGACCTTTCCTGGCCTCCAGCTGCCTCTCCAGAAACAGCTGGAGGCTGGGAAAGGCGCAGGGGGAGAAGTCCTGCTCCCGGCACCGAGGGGGGCACTTGGCCCCAAAAAGGTTCTCTATCACTGACCTAGATCATGATTTTTGTGAGTCTAAGTATGGCAAAATCTAAGTATGGCAAAATCTGAATCCAACCAATAGAAAGAAAGAGAGAGAGAGGGAGAGAGAAAGAGAGAGAGATTGAGAATCACTCTATGGAAAAAAGTCATTGAACTGTTACTATAGTCTCCCAAGTTCTCCTTTAGCACACCACTACATTCACTTCTATTTACAAGCTTGCTACAAAAATTGAACTCAGAGGGTAAGAGCGATGGTCACACCTCCACCCTGCTAAGGACCTGTGCCCCCCCAATCCCTCCCCCCCCCCCCATGGAAGCATCATCCTGATAAACATTCCAAAATCTGAACAGTTCATCACAAACGCATCTCTCAGTTTTCTATATTATACCAGGCCCTCCAACCACAAACTGAGTCAACCTATGGAAACTTGAGGCTTCTTTTGGTCATGGTAATTCATCAAGTTGTCTGTGGCTTGAATGATGGAGAGCAGAGTCAGCTTGTCAAGCCAATGGAAGATACAAAACTGGGAAAGACTGCAAAGATGCAAGCAGAATTAATTATCTTGAAATGGAGAACTGAACTGAAAATAACAAAGGACAACTTGAGAAAGACAAATATACAATACATGTATTGCTTGGGCAAAAGAAAACACAATGCACCAATGGAAAGTGGGAAACAACTTGTTAGTACCAGTAGAAATGGAGAGAGGAGTACCCTGGACCACAGACTGAGTGGCCTGTGAAATGTAAAGTGTTTGGGGGGACACTCAGTGATGTTGCTTTCTTTGGTGCCACTCAGTGCAGGTGTCCAGAAAGGGTGGCGGACTGCCCTGCCCTCCCCCCATTGCCTAGCTCACCTGTACCCCCAGCTGGCTACCTATCACCCAGACAGACCACTGCTGCCGGGGCTGGTACCACAGCCGCCAGAGATCCTGTTCAGAGTCTTGTGGCGCGATATGAAGCGGTATATAAATGAAGCTGCTTTGCTTTGCTTTTGTGTGGCTGCCATGCCAGATTCTGAATAGAAAGACCCCATCCCCTCCAGCAGAGCCAGCTGCTTAGGGGGACGGTGCTGTGGCCTCTGGATGTCCCAGTCAGGGCCTGGCGTGGCAAAGGGAGGCGACTGCCTCTCCTGCTCACCTAGCAATTGTGCCAGTCCTACTGCATGTAGTGCCCCATTGGGTGAAACCCCCTCTGAGGTGTCACCTGGTGTGAGCTGCACTCCCTTAATGACACCTCCGGAAGCAGAGCATTTATGACGAGATATGATCTGGTACAGTAACAGCAGAATGCAGCCTCCCCCTTGCTCTTCGGTTTCCCCCCCTCAACATTTGGCAGGGGAAAATATTCTCCAATATCCAATAGTGCCCCTGAAGCCTGGTGGGGTCCTATTTTTTATTTCCATCATATTTTGTCAACTTATTTTAGGCCTCTAGATGGCTTTCAAATCAGGAAGCAATCTCATTTCCTGTTCCGGTCAGTTCTTAATTTGAAGGGAGGTGAGGAGGGAGCCCAAACTTAGCAAAGTGGTCAATAGCACTCTCAGGGAAAAAAAAAATCCCCTCTCAAAAATGTGGAGGGTAGGGGCGATGTTAACGGATGCAGTCCCTTAGGGTTTCACCTGGGGTTAAGGCAGACTCCTTAACCCTGGAAGTTGCCAGCCCCAGATCTAGTAGCTCTCTCCTTGGTAACAGGGGTGTTACTAGCAAGGTGCAGGGGATGCAGACTGCACCAGATGACAACCTAAGGGGGGTGATACCACTGCTCCCCAGACATCTGCCTTTTGGCAGAAACAGGCTATGGTGTTCGCCTGCATCCCTTTAAATTCTGAAGAGATGGTGTGAGTAGGTTGAGGCTCAGGAGGAGGAAGAAGAAGAGGCCCCTGTTTTTTAAAACATTTAAATGTTAATTTTTAAATTTTAAAAATTATTTTAAATTTTTCTTTAAAAACATCACATCTTACCGAATTTTCACTTTAACCAAATGAAACAATGTCCATGTAAATACATTTAGGCTGTGTGTATGATATTGTAATTTAAACATATAATTTTAATTCTGCTAGCTGTTTATGCCACAACTATTACCACTGCATTCGGCAATGTATGGGAATTGTGATTTATAAGTAACATTAGTATAAAAAACACTATTAAGGATTCTGTGTAGTGTCGTATGGGAAGAAGTCAATGAGAGGGTGACACCAGGTGTTACTACTCCAAGTGACCCCACTGCTTGGTAATGATCAAACCTCTGTTGTATTTATTGGTTACTTTGTGATAAGTGAATTAGGCACATTTAGGACAGCTTAAAGGCAACCCTGCACTGGATCTGTCCTACAAATTCCCTGTGTTTTCACTGTCTGTTGTCCAGTACAATGTGGAGGGTTGATTTAGAACAGATAAGACATGCCTGACCTGATAACAAAAGCTCCAGATCAAGTGGTGTGCTGCTCAGGCTTCCCAGAAGAGCTGTCAACTTGCCTGGCAGAATTACTTCTGTCAGGACTGGCCAGACTTTAACTAGGGGTCTTTCGGCCTTTGAATAGACAGCTTCCCCTCAGCTACCCTCAAAAGAGTTCCCGGGGGTTGTCAAAGGCCTGAATAGAGGAATTCCTTCCTCTTGAATTGGATCTCCTCCCCGCTACAACCCACTGCTTACCGGACTCAAGATTGGCTCTCCCTGACCCTCGCTGGTGGTGCATACTGTTAAGCAAAGCTGGGAAATGTTCCTATTTCGTACTACAATTCCCAGTCAGCAAACAACTTTTTTTGGTACTGCTTTTGCATCAATGCCAGCCCTGCCTAGGTAGAAGATCTTTTCTGAACCTTCACTCTTGGAGATGGATTTGCCTTACTTTTTCCATGAACTTTGTATCTGTACCATTAGCAACGTGAAGTAAACAGCTTCCACTGGCAGATCCTGGATGGCTGTGGCCGCAGCTGGCCGGCTGTTTTTTCCTAAACTCTCTGACTGCTGTGTTGGAGGACTGAACAGTGTTTGCCCACCACCATCACCACGTAAAAGTGGAAAACATTCTCCCACTACCATATTCAGATATCACTGCTGGTCAGGTTATCTTCTTATTGGACATTGGAGAGGATTATTGGCTCAAATAGCTCAAATAGATTTGGTGTCCCCATCTGCTTTGCTGTGTCCATGCTCCCTTCTATGCCTACATTCTGCTGCTGCTTTTTGATCTGGACCGTTTGGTTATAGATGTTAGCTTTTCCTGAAAATACTTCCACTTCGATGCTCTCCACGACTTCCATGTTTGCTGACCTCAGCTCATTATTGGTCTTGGTTTTGGTTTCTTGTTTATTTTGGCCTCTTGCCTCCAGAATGGAATGACTTTTCAGATGCTGGCTTCCTCTGCTTACAGAATCCCAAATCAAGCCCTATTCCTGTTGCTGGATCTCTGCCTTAACCCTGCAAACATGAATTGTTTTTGAGGAATGGCAGAAGCTGCCTACAACACAACTTATGGCAGGCTCCTTTTTCTATCCACTGTATATTAAATCACTCCCTCAGCATAACAAAATGATAGTTGATACTATATGGGAGAAGCCAGTGATATATCATATGTAACAACTGGTACAAAGATTATGTTATTGTTGTAAGCCTTTAAGTCAACTTCAGCCCATGGCAATTCCATCACAGGGTTTTCTTGGCAAAATTTATTCAGGCTGCATCCACATCACAGAAATAATCCAGTTTGACGCCATTTTAAATGCTTTGGCTCAGTGTTGTGGGATTCTGGTATATGTAGTTTGGGAGACATTTAACCTTGCTCATTTAACAGAGCTCTGGTGCCACAACAAACTACAATTCCCAGAATTTCATAGCATTGAGCCATGGCAGTTAAAGTGGTGTCAGTCTGGATTATTTCTGCAGTGTGGATGCTACTTCAGAAGGGAAACATATCTAGGGGATAGGTATGTTGACCATACAGCAAAGTACAATAATATCAAAAATCCACAAAACGTGATACAATTATTGAGGTAATCAAAATGAGCAAAATACTTTATACAAGTTTTCAAATCCCACTGGCTTCTGCATCATGCAATCGTGTTAAAAATCATACAGGAAAAACAAAAAATGTTGTTTCTCCTGCATGATTTTTAACACCTTTGCCTGATGAAGAAGCCGGTGAAAGCTTACATCACATATTTTGTGCATCTTGGTTGGTCCAATAAAGGTATCACTGTTTTGTGGATTTGGGATGCTATTGTACTATTCAGAGGAGTTTGCCATTGCCTTCCTTTGAAGCTGAGAGAGTGTGTGTCTTATCCAAGGTCATGCAGAGGTTTACATCACTTAGCAAGGATTTGAACCCTGATGTGCCACTAAACCACACTGACTCCTAAACTTTCTTAAAGGCGCTTTATTTAGTTTAAAATAGGGTATGTGATGATTGTTGTGACAATGCTTACTACACATTCTGTCTTGACATATGCAGAGCAACAAAAACAAAAGCAAAGGAAAAAACACACACACACAGAGGATTTCATTATAACAATGAAGCAGCACCTGGAGCCCTGCAACAACAAAACAGTTCTTTCAGCCCATGTAGAAACACCAG